TACTTCAGGGTATATAGGGTTAAAAAACCTCATTCAATTAATTCAGAAGAAAATTTGTATAACATTTATTTAAAATATAATAATGGTCGGTGTTCTATTTCAAGGTTCACTTATCAAGCATTCGTTTCTCAAAAAAGAAACTTCTTGATTCACATCTCATTTCATTTCTTCTATTGCCTTATTGACATTAAAGTGTTTCAAAATCTTAAGTTCACATTTTTCTTGATAGACTATTGATGTAAACAAAATATTAATTGGACAAATAATTATCCAGCTGAATGATTTGGTCAAAATCAGAATAGAGAAAATTAAAGACAAATGCTGGTTACGACTGAAATAAATATACAATTTCTGTAAGTTATTTTCACATATTAATTTCAGAAGTGAAAGCAAATAACACTCAAACATCAGCATAAACAAAACAGTAACGGAACAATCGTATCACAATAATCATTAATTACTAAACCTGAAAACTGTATTCACCAAACCTTTGTGTCTGATGCCTATATACAATATTCTAGCCCATTACAATTTGCCCAACACAGACAAGATACAGAACAGCCACACCTATACCGCTGTACAATGCATATATTGCTTTCCACGCCAGACAAACATGAAATGCCACAAGGAATCTTGACACTCTCCACACTAACTTCTTTATTGGTCCTATGTAAGTTTGATCTGTCAGATTCAGTCATGTCCAAATTTAATGCCTATTGTGATAACTTTAGATAAAAGTGAGGTGGTTGTTTGACCTATTAGCATATTATAGTAACGAACTCATTCATCCCTGAAGACACATTTGAACTCTTCCAATTCAAAGATTGGAATAGTTCATTCGAAATAGGGGTGAATGAGTAACGAGAGATTATTATCATTTCTGAAAGTCCTATTTTGCGTCTGATCAATTAAAGATGTGTGCCTGGCAGAAAAAACCAATGATAGCTGCTTGGGAGTCTTTTTGTTCATTCTTTCTGTCTCAAAATGATACATACAAAATACGGACCAAGGGGAACCTACATACAAAATACGAGAAAGATCTATCAAATAGTTCTTGATAAATATTAATATCAAACTAATTTGAATTGTCAAACTCTTTGATGAAACATGTTCAATTCAGGACCATAGGGAATTTCATATGAATTGTACGAGAAAGATGCATCCAGGAGTTCTGGAGATATAGTGGTACCGAAAATCGTTTAAGGACAGACGGACAGACTGATCACGGACGAAGGGCAATTTGAACAGCCAACCATCTGATGATGGTGCGCTAAAAAATGTTATGTGGGATATACCCAGGTACATGTATGTACATACAAGTGCAAAACTAGATTTATATTCTGACAATTCCAATATACGATCAATACGGAGTCCATTTAATCCACTTATGATTCTAACTATAAAGCACGAAAAAGAAGATTTTATATAAGCACACATATATCATTAACGCAGAACCGATCACATATCGCATTTTACCTCGGACCAGCCAAGGTGTGTTTTGTCATCAGAAAGAGGGTATGATCAAGACTGGACTTATCCCAACTACATGTATACTACATGTGGTGTAAACCATTTAGATTTCACTCCAGGCTGTTGTCATATTAATTTGCAAGGTCAAAAATATTACAGATATTTCATCAGACAAATCAAAACAATAAATGTATGTTTGATATTGTTCAATTGGAAATACAAATATCTATAAATAATCATTTGAAGCACTCGGGCGAAAATAAGTATAGATAAAAATGAAGTTATTTTTTCATATTTCTGTGTATGACACTGTTTTGTGAAATCTGATAAAAAGCAGGTATCCTAAACGTAGACTGACCATAGGTAAAATACAGCAGGAGGCCGGTTCAAGTGACATTGATCGTAAACATATTTTCACAGATAACTTCTCATTTTCATATACAGGTCTGTATATACATTGCACAACAATAATGGAAAAAATAATCAACAAAAATACATTTAATAACGAAAACACCTAATGTATACCAATGGTAAAATCCTTCTTTGCCAAATATTAAATTTGGCCTTCACATTTCATTACTATGTACCAGGGTATATAATGTTGTTTACAAACTTTCGTATTGATAAATCACGGGGG